TGGTCTACAAAGTGAGTCCAGGACAGCCAAGGCTACACAGAAAAACCCTGCCTTGAATGAATGAATAGATAGATAGATAGATAGATAGATAGATAGATAGATAGATAGATAGATAGATAGATGAGTGAGTGAATGAATGAATGAATGAATGAATGAATGGATAAATGAATAGATAAATAAATAAATAATGGATGGGTGGGTGAATAAGTAATAAATAAAGTGAAGGCAGGTGTAGTGGTGCACTCCTTTAATCCTAGCACTTGGGGGAGGGGGGGAGCAGATCTCTTGAGAGTTCAAGGCCATTTGAAGTCTACATAGTGAGTTCCAGGACAGCTAGAGCTACATAGTGAGACTTTGTCTCAAAAAAATAAATAAATAGCGCTGGAGAGATGGCTCAGAGGTTAAGAGCACTGGCTGCCCTTTCAGAGGTCCCGAGTTCAATTCCCAGCAACCACATGGTGGCTCACAACCATCTATAATAAGATCTGATGTTTTCTTCTGGCATGAAGGTGTACATGCAGATAGAACAATGTATACATAATAAATAAAATATTTAAATATATATATATGTATATATATATATATAAAAACCTCTTTTAAAAAGTATAGTAATGGGAGCTGGAGAGCTGGCACAGCAGTTAAGGGCACTGGCTGCTCTTCCAAACATCCGGAGTTCAATTCCCAGCACCCACATGGCGGCTCACAACTGTCTATAATATGACCTGGTAACCTCTTGTGGCACGCAGGTATGCATGCATATAGAGCACGGCACATTCATCATACATACGTAAATCTACAAAAAAGTGTAATTAATAGAAAGCTGGCAGAAGTGGGGGAGCATTTCAGTGCCTTCCCGGCACAGCACTGGCCTCTCTGCTGCCACCTGCTGACCTTAGCAGGCTCTACACTGACCCTCCAGCTCCCATCTCTTCCGCGCTGCCAGTTCATAAATTCATCTCTTTTAACATCCAGTTTAAAACACATCAGCCCTCAGCGTCACTCAAAGCTGATCTTATTCTGTTCTCAGGGCTACACAGTATAATTACATACCTGATTCATGCTACATCAAGCTTCACTGCCTTGACATTTTTAAAAATCAACTAAGGACTTTGTGTGACTAGGAAGGGGGACTGCTGAAACCCAGGGACTTGCACATGCTCTGCAAGCGCTCTACCACTGAGCTACAAACTCAGCTCTTTTTGTGTTCATGCATGTTCGTACACCACTTGCATACCAGGTGTCCACAGAGGGCAGTGGACATTGGATACCCTAGGACTGCAATCACAGATGGCTGTGAGCTGCCATGTGGGTGCTGGAAATCAAGCCAGGGTTCTCTGGAAGAGCAGCCAGTGCTCTCAACTGCTAAGCCATCTCTGCTATTCTTCAATGAAGAAAGCATTCCCAAAGCGGGGCAGTGGTAGCACATGGCTTTCATCCCAGTACCCAGTACTCAGGAGGCAAAGACAGGCAAACCTTTTTAAGTTCAAGGCCAGCCCACTCTACAGAGTGAGTTCCAGGACAGCCTTTCTACACCTGTCTCGAAAAGACAAAAGTGCTTCCAGTTATTTTGGACAATTTGTTTCCCAAGAAAGGTTCTCACCCTGTAGCCCAGGTTAGCGCACCCATATCAGGTAGCTCATAACTCCTCTAACTCTAGCTCCCAAGGATGTGACTCCTCTAACCTCCACAGGCACCTGCACTCATTTGCATATACCCACACACAGGAAACAAGCGTATGCAAATGGGTGTGCACACGTACACACACACATTAAAAATAAAAACAAATATTTAAATAAGTAGGTTCAAACTGTAAACTGACCACCATAGCCTAAGATGGACCGAGAATGAATGAATTCATAAACACATTCTGCCTCATTCAAGACTATTACTTTAGCAAAAAAAGCAAAGAGATGTCAATGAACATAAAGGTGTTGAACTCCAAGCTAGGTTCTAACCATCTCCTCCCAGCCATCTACTGACCTTGACTGCCCAGCGTGGAGGCAGCTGTGTGGTAAGTCTCGCAGTCCACACAAAATGTTCCTTGTTTCTCGGCCCCAAGCATTTCCAATTTTCTGGTGAGGAGCTCCACCGTCTGCTGGACACTCTTGCCCTCAGCCACAGGCATCTGGGACACACTGAAAAACATAGCACCACATCAGCACTGTCCAGAGACACATGCTCTAGCTAAGATGCTCAGTCCCCAACAGCGAACAGATCAACAAGGCTGGGAGTTACTTTAGACAACACTAACTCTGATTCCCACCCCTTCAACCCAAGAAAGGAAGAGGCCCACAGTCCCCAAGAGCTCCTCAAACAGACAGAGCGCAGGTCTCAAGTGTCTCACACTGGGATGATAGCTTTCTACCACAGCAGCATTCCCCAAGAAAGGTATTTGTGATGACTTTTAAGTGATGACTCTCACTGAATCATACAGTGCCTGTGATTGACAGTGTATGCTGCCAAGGGACACTGATTACTAATAATCCCTGTTATTTGTTGGCGACAAGGTCTCACAGAGCAGCCAAAGCTGATCTGGAGTTCACGTTAGCCCAAGCTGAGCCCACCATTTTAGCAATCCTGTCTCGGCATCCCAAGTGCTGGAATTATGGGGGTACATTTGGCTGAGACCTATTTCTTAAACAAACTCCTGATCATGTCTGTGAGATTCTACATTTAATTAATTGAGATGTGGATAAAACAGCTGGGCAGGACACACACCCTTTCCTGACGATGGACATAATGTAACCAGCCACCTCAAGATCCTGTCACCATGCCTTCTCTGATGTGATGCTCTTTGGCTCAGTGAGCCAAAATAAACCAACCGTAAGTGCTGCTGTCAATTTTGTGCCACAGGAGGCTGGTGGGTAACGTTCTGAAGATTGCTGACAGGTCTCCCCCACCACCACAGCACTAAGAACAGAGAGAAAGCAGGCCTCAGGTATATAAGCCTTGAAAAAGAGAAGCAATGCTCCTTGCAACTTCAATTATTTTCCAGGTCTCCACCTTTCTCTGTGGTTTCCCCATGGAGTGGTAGGTAATTATTGTCAAGTATCGGCTCTGTGAGGCTCTGGAGGCAACATCTGTAGGCCTTCAGATTTTGTTTTGTTTGAGACAAGGTTTCACTATGTAGCTTTGCTGTCCTGAATAGACCAGGTTGGCCTGGAATTCACAGAAGTTTGCCTGCCTCTGGCCTCGGCTGAAGCCAAAAGCATGAGCCTTCAGATAGACTGACCGAATCTTCCAATGGCCCCAGCTTACTGAAAATGAGGAAACTGAAATGCAAAAGCTAAGCAGTCTGCAGAAAGTCATACAGTTAACGAACACTATAGCCAAGATTCAAAGCAGGCAGCCTGGCTTCTCGGCCCCCTAACCACTCTTCTAGATTGCCTCTAGGCATGTGGTGAACTGATAATATTTATAAAATTTTGTTTTATTTCTTTTTTTGGGGAATAGGGGTTCTCTGTATAGCCCTGACTGTCCTGGAACTTGACCTATAGACCAAGCTCAAGGCTGTCCTGGCATCTGATCTGTAGACCAAATTCAAGGCTGGCCTTGAACTCAGAAATCTGCCTGCCTCTGCTTCCTGAGTACTGCACCACCACTCCTGTCAAGGTAACAATCTGCTAAAATATTTTTAAAGAGACTGTTTGCTTGTTGGAGACAGGGGCCTCACACCACATCCAATGCTGATCTGCAATTCACTGCATTAGCCCAAGCTGACCTCACACTTTTAGCAATCCTTCTGCTGCGTGTCTGTCTCTCATGTGCTGGAATTACAGAAGTGCACTTGGCTGAGCCCTATTTCCTGAACAAGTTAAAAAATAAAATTGATAGTGTTTAACTGTATGGAAAAGTCAAAGCTTTTTATGATCAATCAATTAGATAACTCTATTAAGGGAGAGCCCTACTGTTACTAAAAACTGTTCCAGCCCCTAAACTGACACTGACAGAACCCAGGGCGGGCAGGCATTGGTGAAGCACTCCTGTAATACCAGGAGGCAGGAGGTAGGAGGCAGGGGGCAGGTGGTTGTAAGTTACATACCAGACTGGGCTACACAGCCCATAACGGGATGGTGGAATTCTAGGGCTCGGTGTCTCTGCTGTGAACTTTCTACTTTCATCACTGACATGCACTCTTTACAGTAGTGAAGGCTGAGAGGCACCTGTGTCAACTGTGGGCAAGTCGCTAAAAAGCCTGAATAAATGCTCAGAAAAGCAGTGCCCAGACCTGATCTACCACTCTTTTTCAGGTGAGACCTAAAACATGCCTGAGGTAAAAGTCGATCAAAACTGGCTCAAACGTGTAGGAAGTGGCTCCTGAATAGTTAATGTGCCTGGAACCCCGAACTCCAAACTCCCAGTGACTCCTTTTCCTTCCCTCTGTCACTAGACCCAATATCTTAAAGTGGCCAATACAAAGTCCGGCTGCTATAACTTGCAAGCAAAATATAAAAGTCACTTTCTCCACGCTCTCTTTTTTTTGTCCCTGTCTACGAATAAACTCTTAGTCTAGAAATCCTATTTCCACAGTACTACGGCCTCACGGACAGGAAATACCACCCAGAAAAAGAAGGTACAACACCTCCCGGCGGGTTCTTGGGAAAATGACGTGCTCGCTTGCCAAAGGGGTGCATCATGGAAGGAAGAAGCCCCACACGCTGTCCCCCGATCCACACAACCCAAGGACATGTTGGTCAGCCCTCGCGGAACCGAGAACCTCCCGGGACACTACAGGCTCACAGGTGCCTTCACGACCGAAGCTCCGCCCCACAGAAGCCCTTCGAGTCCTACCAAGTCACTCCCATGGCGTAGGGTCAGAAAGGGGCAACACCGAACACTGGAACTCAGAGACTCTGGACGCCCCCGGGAGCGGTAGCCACCCAACCCAGCGCCGTAGGTCGGGCTCCGGAAACACGTAAATACTGAGCGCCAGCGCGGCACGCCCACCGGAAAAGAGCGCCTCCGCGTACTCCAGCGGCGACTTTCCAGGACGTCATCGGCCCGGCTCCGCCCCCAGGGCGCGCAGCGCTTCGACAGTCCAGGCTACTTTGATGAGTTCTAGAAAAGGTGACTGGGACCGCCACCTCCTCCAGACAATGAGATTACCTGGGACCTTGGGGGCCTCAGCTCCAGGCCCCGGAGCTCTTGGAGAGGTAACGGTACAGGGTGAGCGTCCAGCCTCCCAACGCTGGGGGGCGCTGTGAGCTCTCAGTGACCTCCTGCGCATCGGAATACGAGGCGCAAGCGCACTCTCGGCTTTGAGCCGGCTTCGCACGTGGAAACCTTGTGGGCAAGTTTTTCCAGAAAAAAAATGCCCAAATTCAAGGTGGCCCGTGGGGCCGGGAATCAGGAGAAGCATGCGCCTTTGGCCGAGCAGATTCTGGCTGGGAACGCAGTGCGCGCGGGAACCCGAGACAAACGGCGGGGACGCGGGGTCGAAGAGGAGGAAGAGTATGTGGGACCCCGGCTGAGCAGACGGATTTTGCAGCAAGCCCGGCAACAGCAGGAGGAGCTCGAGACGGAACATGGGACCGGAGAGCGGCCGGCAAAACCGCGAGAGCGCGCCACGCGGCTGGGTGAGTGACAGGGGTGGAGTGTTGGGTTGGGCGGGTTAGCACAGTCCATCTGGGTACTGGGCTGGAATTAGAATAGGCGGATTTACTTTCCCGCGTGGTCCTTCGCCTCCACTCCTAGCTTCCTGAGCTCAGAGTTAAGCCACCAGAAAGTGATCGCTCACACCAAGTTCTAGCATTTATTCCTTGGGCGTTTGAGTATTTGTGGCTTCCTGCGAAATGCTTTGAACTGTACTAAGAGTTTACACAGCTGATACAGAAATAAGATATTCGTTCCTCCTGTTAGCACCGGAAGTCTAGCGCAAGGCAGAGAACATTAAATAGATGATTAGAATATTATATTACAGCCTGGAGCGGCGATTCTAGCTTGTAATTCCAGCACTCGAGAAGCTAAAGGCTTCTTGGCTACATAGTAAGTGTCCAGATCAGACATGGTATAGCCCTGTCTCGCAAGAAAGAAAATGGCATTCCCATTAAAAGCAAAAACAGAACGACATTAATTCTGTGTGACAGGTATCCCAGGTTTTGTGCCCGTTTAAGACCTGAAAAGCAAATGGGAACTGTTCTTGTGGTAGGGAGGAGAAACAGTATGGTTTAGAAACTAAAAAGGGTACTTGACACTTGCCTCATTGGGGGACAGCTGCTGTTGGCCTCCACTTGCTTAATCTCCCATTCTCTTTTTTATTTTTCTTTGTTTTTCGAGATAGGGTTTCTCTGTGTAGCCTTGGCTGCCCTGGACTCTCATCGTAGACTATGCTGGTCTCGAACTTGCAGAGATTGGCCTGTTTCTGCCTCCCTGAGTGCTGGGATTGCGGGTGTGTGCCACCGGGCTGGCTTATCTTATTTGTCCTAAAAGCAATATTGACATAATTGAATATGGCTTTAGGGCTAAATTAGGTTTACCTGCTTTCCTAGGGTTTTTGTTTTGGTTTTGTTTGTTTGTTTGTTTGTTTGTTTGTTTGTTTGTTTTTTGAGGTAAGACACTCATGGAGCCCAGGATGGCCTCAAACTCTGGATGTAGGCGAGGATTACCTTGAACTCCTGATCTTGCCTCTCATCTTGTTTCAGAGTGATGCTGTAATAGATGTTTGATAATGCACCTGTGTAATTTCAGCTCCTTTGCTTTATTAGACTCTTTCCCAGGGGCCTTGCCAGCTATGTGTTATGTTTTTTAAATTATGAGGCTGGCCATCCTTCAGTTGTTAATACTGAACTTGAACTTGCTGACTGACCAAGACAGGCCTTGAGCTTTTGGAATTCCACTTTGAAGTCATCTGTTTGACTTTTTCCAGCTTTTCTCCCACACAGCTCTTCCAGAAAACTCACATTTTCCTACTCAGCTGTCTACCTGATAGCTCCCAAGTTGAAGACAAGTATTTGTCTCTAGTTTAATATGGTCAGGACAGAAATTGTGACTTCCTTCCCAAACCTGCTCTCTACTTGCTCTGTGCACATAAGCCCTCCACCGCTCCAGACAGAAGCCGGAGCTCCTCTTTCTCACTCTACAGTAAGTCCTGTCTTCAGAATAGACCCACAACCTGACACTTTCCACTAGCTCAGAACATCTTCCTGTTTAAGCTGCCACATCTCCCCCCTCAGTCGCTGTGGTAGCATCATAGTTTGTGTTCCGTAACCTCTGGTCCCTTCAGTAGCTGGAGATCAAAGGCCCCCTGTCTGGTCTGCCTCTGTTAGGGTCAGACACAAGCTAGGGAGGGGATAAGATAATTCAGCTAGTGAAATACATGCTTTCAAAGCATGAGGCCCTGACTCCCATCTCGGGCAGCTTATAATCCCAGAGCTAGGGCAGTGAAGACAGATGTCTTGAACTCACTGGGCAACCACACTCTAGTCTGATCAGCTTACTCTGTTTCAAACAAGGTCAGCAGCTCCTGGGGAACAACACCCGAGTCACTCTGGGCTCTGCAGTGTAAGTATTCACTTATACACAAAACACGCAGCTCCTACCCCTCGAATGTCAGTGTCCAGCCATCTCTTAGCCTCTCTTCCCTGTTTGCTTCATAGCACTTGTCTTCTGTTGCTTGTTAACATTTATTACTTTGTGTGCATGGGCGTGCCATGACCTGTGCGTAACGAACAGAGGAAAACTGTCAAGGATTAGTCCTCAAATCTTCATAACAGTTGTTCTTGCAGAGTTTCTGAGTTTGGTTCCCAGTATTCATAGGCCAGTGCACAGCTGTCTGTCACTAATTCCAAGGGATCAGATTCTCTTCTGACCTCGTTGGGCTTCGGGCACATTCTTGCACAGACTTACCCGCAGGCGAAGCACTCCTGCACATGAAATTAAATAAATAAATCTAAAACAAACAAAAAGCCTTAGTTCTTACCGGACGCGCTTCCCATACTCTGCTGAGCTAAATATGCTCTTAGTCCACGTCTCTAGCAAAGGGCCTATTGCTGTGTCATTTCAGCTCCTTTGGTTTATTAGACTCTTTCCCTGGTGCCTTGCCAGCTATGTGTGATGTTTCAAACTCAGGTATGTTGGCACTGGATTTTAATCCCAACACTCAGAAAGCAGAAGCAGGCAGCTCTCTTGAGTTTGAGCAAGTTCCATGCCAGCCAAGGCTACAAAGTCAGACCTTATCTCTCAAAAAAAAAAAAAAAAAGGGCAGTGGAGTGTCAGGAGTTCAGCATAAAACCTTGTGGTGCATGTCTGTAATCCTAACACTTGGGAGTGGAAACATAAGAACAAGAATTCCAGGTCATCGTTGATGACGTAAGTCAGTAATTTAAATGTATTGGTTGATTAGAGTCTGAATGCCACTGCCTAGCCTTCAGAGCCTTCCAGGCTGGCTTTGTGTTTCCTTTCTGGCCCTCTGGTCCTGTTTCTGGCTCTAGCTCCTAAGCCCAACATTGTAATAATATTAAAGTCCTTTTCCAGAATATGGAGTGCTCTCTTGCACTCGCTCTTTTGTTTTGTTTTGTTTTTTTGACACAGGGTTTCTCTGTGTAGCCCTGGCTGTCCTAGACTCTTTGTAGACTAGGCTGGCCTCGAACTCACAGAGCTCTGCCTGCCTCTGCCTCCTGAGTTGCTGGGATTAGAGGAGCGCGCCGCCACAGCTGGCTTGGAGCACACTCTTGCTGCCCATCCAGAGCCTCACCACCCTCCACGCTCATTTCTGCCTCTACCCTGTGTTAGGGTTAGCACGTGATGCAGCTCCGCTGTGCAGGCAGCATGGTGAGGAAGAAGGCAGTGTCAGGACCTAAAGTGCCTGCTGTGAGCACATCAGCGTTTCTGTCCCAATTTGGTAATAGTGCCTGTTTCTAGAGGTCATCTGGCCCCACCAGGGTGCACATGTATGCAGAGTGGACTGTTCTAGATCGCCCAGGTGGCATGTCACCATCCCTTTGCCTCCTGTGTTCTCTTTTGTCTCTCAAGCAAGATTCCCAGTCTCTGGGGACAACATATCTGACCGCTTTCTCTTCTCCTTCCTTGTGTTCATGGGTATCTCCAGCCCCCTTGGCACGCAGTGCATGGCAGCAGTGAACTGACTCAAAAGCCGCCGCCCACCATGCTCATCATGTCATCCCTCTTGTAGGGCCAGGAGTGCCACAGGATGGATCTGATGATGAGGATGAAGAGTGGCCTACCCTGGAGAAGGCAGCCAAAATGACCGGGGTGGACCACCAAGCAGAGGTGGTCGTGGATCCTGAAGATGAACGTGCCATTGAAATGTTCATGAACAAGAACCCTCCTGTCAGGTAGGGCTGCAGAGTTGGGACAGTGGATCCTGGTAAAAAGTTCCCACAGACCACAGCGTTTGGTCTGAGAGTTGCCAGCAGTGGACCTTCTGAATGGAAGTGACCCAGACTCAAAATATCTTCCCTTCTATCTATCTGAACCAGAACTTCCTGGATTACCCACGTCCTTCTTACATCTGGGGATCCATTCTGTTGCATTTATTCTTGGGATGCTGCTCTCATGTCTCAGGCTTCCTTTAATTCAGGGCTTTCAGACTCAGCCCTAACTTTTGGGCCAGATAGCTCTTTTTGTGCGTGGAAGCTAGAACCCAAGGATCTTTATTTGTTTTGCTTTAGGTTTTTCAAGACAGGGTTTCTCTGTGTAGCCCTGGCTGTGCTGGATTCACTTCATAGGCCAGGCTGGCCTAGAACTCACAGAGATCTACCTGCCTGTGCCTCCCAAGCGCTGGAATTACAGGCTTGTGCCACCAGGCCCCATTAAACCCAAGGATCTTAGCAGCTCTCTCTGACCTCTCCCCTCTAGATACCAGTAGTGACAGACTATTCCTGGAATTTCCAGATATCACCAGAAGGGTAAAACTGTCTCCATGTAGAACCACACATTTATTACATATTAAATATTATAAGTGCTCCTTCCAAACATGCAGGTATTTAGGCTGCCTGTGGTCAGGTTCTTTTTGGTTTTTCAAGACAGGGTTTCTCTGAATAGCCTTGTCTGTCCTGGACTTGCTGGACCAGTCTGGCCTCAAACTCACAGAGATCTGCCTGCCTCTGCTTCCCTGGGTGCTGGGATTATAGGCATGTGCCATCACACTGGGCTTATGGTCCCGTTTTTGAGCAGGTGTGTCTGGCCTAGTGGAGAGGAGTGAGTTTAGGGCAAAGGGCCTCAACCAGTTTATTCTTCAGGGTGTGTTGTAGTGTGTCTCAGAGTGGCTTGAGTGCATAGAATGGAGAAAAAAAGCCCTCTCCCAGATGGATGATGACAGCTTGATAGAGGTCATGAAGCCTGGATGTGGTCCGTGTGCCTGTCTTGGGCAGCACCTCGCATCTGCTCTCTCATGATTCTGACAAACTTAGCAAAACATTTTTCTGCAATTTGCTCTAAGCGACAAGGCCAGGTGGAAAAGGGAACTCGGGGCATTGTGAACACTGGCTGCTGGCATCTTCAGAAAGCAGGCCAAGGTCTTTGGGACCACAGCAGTCAGACCATGTAATCTAGGGCACACTGAAGGTCCTCTGACACACCCAGACTGGAAGGTAAAAGACTTTAAGTTTCACCCATTCCCTAATAAAGCCTTGAGGCCTTGGGTGAGCTCTGGACCTCTAAGACTTGGTCCCCATGTGTGTGGGGGGAATAACTGCACCTCCCACCAGTGTCCTGCAGACCATAGGACACAGATCTGGGAAGTCTCAAATTCATTGCTGCCTGGCACAGAAAAAGAGAGCAGAGAAACTTTTCTCGTTGTGGGACTAGAGGCCAGAGAACCCAGAGTCTCATCCATGCTAGGCAAGTACTGTGTGACTGAGGGACAGCCACCACTGAGGGAAATTTTAAGCACATGTCAGTGGCCTCTGAAGATGCCATTAGCAGACCACAACGTACTAAGGTGGTGATTTTGTCAAAAGTTTATTGTTTTATTTCTTCATTTTATTTTGCCTGTATGTACTTGTGTGTATGTGTGCGCGCACGCGTGCGTGCGGATGCATCTCCTGGGGTCCTGGTGCCCATGAAGGTCGGAAGAACTGAAACTGGAGTCACTGTTATTGCTCTAGACGATGGGAACTGAACCCAGTTCTCTGCAGGAGCAGTAAGTGCTCTTAACCACTGGGCCATCTCCCCAGCCCAGATGGTGATAATTTTGCATCCACATTTGATAGCCTCTATTTAAAGAGGCTGAAGGAGGGAAGGTGGCAAGGTAACTCGGTGGGTGAAGTGTGCTTCCTGCACAAACCTGATGACCTGAGTTCAGTCCCTGGAACCCACTGAAAGGTGGAAGGAAAAGCCACCTCCACGCAGTGGTCCTCGGACCTCCACGTGAGTCTATCACATGCACACACCCAGCAATAACAGTGAAGCCTAAAAGACCCTGAAAGAGGCTGAGAAAGATGCAGTCTCGGGACTATTTCTGCGCGAGGAGGGAAGGTGGTGCTGTGGTCTTCTTAATGAATGACGCCACCTGGAGTCCCGGCAGGTGATGGAGGTGTGTGGCACACCAAGACCAGAGCTCCAGGGAGTTATTGATAGATTGGTTGGTTTTCCTGTGTAGCTCTGGCTGGCTTGGAACTCGCTCTGTAGACCAGGCTGGCCTCAAACTCACAGAGAGCCACCTGCCTCTGCCTTTGGAGCACTGGGATTAAAGGCCTATTCCGTGGTAGGGGTGCTTGAAGTAGGAGGCCCTTGCTACACACTGGCTCTGGACGGACAGTTCTGAGTGGCGCACAGGCAGTGTTTCATTTAACCCGTTAGTTAACTGTGCAAGGGAGTCCTTTTACTGTCGCCACTTTACAGCTGAGGAGACTGAGGAACAGAGGAGTAAAGTGACAGGCCCAAGACCATTCAGGGGATAGAAGAGCCAGGACCGACACCTGAACAGAACTGACTTCAGAGTTCAAGGGCTTGGCTTAACCTCCACACAGTGCTAGCTATGTCTTAAATGCAGTGACATTCAGGTCCTTTGCTCTCTGCAGCAACAGACTAGTGTGGCCCCTCTGCAAGTTGGTGGGACATTCTTGTTTTGCTTGGGGCTGTTTCGTGGCTCTCCTTTTTTTCCTTTGTGGCAGGGTCTCACTCTGTAGTACTGGCTGGCCTGGATCTCCCTATAAAGGCCACCATGCTGGCCTTAAACTCAGATCTGCCTGGCTCTGGAGTGTTGGGATTAAAGGCTTATGCCACCACTACTGGCATGCTTTTTTAATAAACGGGAGCCAAGTGGTGGTGCACGCCCTTCTTCCCAACTCTGCTTCGGAGCAGAGGCAGGCAGATCTCTGAGCTTGAGGCCAGCCTGTCTCCAGAGCGAGTGCCAGGACAGCCAGGGCTACACAGAAAAAAACAAATACGTGAACAGGGTGAGGGGATGTTAGAATTCCGTGGAAAGTCCAGCTCTTCATGCTCCTCCTTCCCTGTCTCCCCAGGCGCACCCTGGCTGATATCATCATGGAGAAGCTGACGGAGAAGCAGACAGAGGTGGAGACGGTCATGTCGGAGGCATCAGGCTTCCCCATGCCTCAGCTGGATCCCCGGGTCCTGGAAGTCTACAGAGGCGTTAGGGAGGTAAGAGCTAAGAGAGCGAATGCTGTGGGATATCCTGACAGGAGGTGGGCTCTCACCCATGGCCTTTGCCAAATAAGCCATGGCGACCAAGGACAGGATTGAGGCAGAGCTGGTGGGCTCAGCTTCTTGCTCTGCCTCTTACTGATCCTGGGAGTCCACCAACTCTGGTCACCTGAAGAATGAGCCTTTCCAGATTGTTCTGAAGATAAGAGAGGCACGCATGGCGTGAAACAGCAGCGGGGGGCAGGACCTCAACCATAGGTGTTGACTTTGCTTCCCTTGTCCCCAGGTATTATCAAAGTACCGCAGTGGCAAACTGCCCAAGGCTTTTAAGATCATCCCTGCACTGTCCAACTGGGAGCAGATCCTCTACGTCACTGAGCCTGAGGCCTGGACCGCAGCCGCCATGTATCAAGCCACCAGGTAGTGTAGCTGGGACAGGGACAGGGGGTGGGGCATGTGGGCTCTGCCTGCTTTAGCCATTCCTTGGCCTGTGGCTTTCTCCCTTGTATTTGTTCCTATTATTCCCTTAACTTTTGCTCTTGAATTTTCAGGACCAAGTCCTGTGGCAGACTTCAATGGGAAGGGCTTTTAGCTTCCATGATACAGCCCTGGTGTCGGAGAGTAGCTTGAGAATTCTGATTCCCCAGGTGCTCTCAGGTTCCTCATGATGGAAGGGAGAGCAAGTAACTGAGTAGCCAGCGCAGGCTGGACTAAGGACGTAGCCCAAAGGGAGTCGCTTAAATAATGCATGCAAGGCCAAGGGTTCCCTCCCCAGCACTTTTAAGAACAATACCAGGAGCTGCAGAGATGGCTCAGTGTTTAAGAGCACCTGTTCTAGGGGACCCGCAGGGTGGCTCCCAACCATCTCTGGCCTCCATGGGCACCAGTCACGTGGTGCACAGGCGTCCGTGCAGACTAAATACACACGGGCATAAAATAAAAACTTGGAACTAAACACCAGAAATACATGCTCTTATGTGGGTCGTCATCCTATTGCTGTCCTCCACCTCTTTAAGCTGACCCGGGTATGTGTGCGCACAAGCCCCACATAACCCTCTCTGAAATGATGTCCTGTATCTTACTATAAAACCTCCCGAGTGCACCATCCACGGTGACACCAAAGGGCCAGGGCGGGACTCTCTTGTGACTTGGAAACTCCCACCGTGCTAGGATTTTTGCCTCTAACCTGAAGGAACGTATGGCTCAGCGCTTCTACAACCTGGTCCTGCTTCCCCGAGTACGAGATGACATTGCCGAGTACAAACGGCTCAACTTTCACCTCTACATGGCACTCAAGAAGGCCCTGTTCAAGCCTGGAGCCTGGTTCAAAGGTAAAAACCCAGGAACAGGGAGGAGAGGAGATCCTGGAGCGCCTGCTTGGCAAATGGCTGTACCCCACTGGCGCTCCTTGCATGGCTCGGGTTGCTGGGCACTGCTTCCTTCCCCTCGCCCCAGACTGAAAGTCACTGCGTCTGACCTCCCTAGGAATCCTGATCCCACTGTGTGAGTCTGGCACTTGTACCCTCCGCGAAGCCATCATCGTCGGCAGCATCCTCACAAAGTGCTCCATCCCCGTGTTGCACTCCAGGTAGCGTGGGCGGGGAGGGGAGGAGCAGTCAGTGGAGAGCCGCGTAGAGGAGAGGCCAGAACTTGGTCATGAGGACAGAGACGGAGAGCGAGCTACGCTCACCTACAGTCTGTGGCTTGTTGAAGCCCATGCAATTACTCCAATAGAATAAGAATAGACACGGTGGCACGTGCTTATAATCCCAGCGCTTGGGAAGGCAGAGGCAGGTGGATCTCTGCTTGAGGGCAGCCTGGTCTACAAAGCAAGTCCAGGACAGTTAAGGCTGCACAGAGAAATCCTGTCTCGTACATAGTAGGTGCTTGGTAAGTAGCCGAATGATGGCATGGCTGGATGGACAATGAAGGAGAAAGTGGAATAAAGGGTGGGATGGTCGCATACTTGGATATGCTCTATAGTTTCCAAGCCAGGGCAGAGGTGTGGGGTAGCTGCATGGAGGCTCGAGTATTAAGCAGATGAAAACCGCAGTGGCACGCTCGGGAACACTGTGTCAGGGTCAGTCTGGGCGGAAGACTTCCCAGCATCCCTCCCACAGTCCATAATTCTGCCTTCCCTCCCAGTGCGGCCATGCTCAAGATTGCTGAGATGGAATACAGCGGTGCCAACAGCATCTTCCTGCGCCTGCTGCTGGATAAGAAGTACGCATTGCCCTACCGGGTGCTAGATGCCCTGGTCTTCCATTTTCTGGGCTTCCGGACGGAGAAGCGCCAGCTTCCTGTGCTCTGGCACCAGTGCCTCCTGACATTGGCACAACGCTACAAGGCTGACCTGGCCACAGACCAGAAAGAGGCCCTCCTAGAACTGCTCCGACTGCAGCCCCACCCACAGCTGTCCCCTGAAATCAGGCGTGAGCTCCAGAGCGCAGTCCCCAGAGATGTGGAAGATGTGCCTGTCACCATGGAATGACAGGGCCACCTGTCAGGGGCCAGGGGCCGTGGGAGGACACCAGGTGGTGGCCCAAGGTGTAAAGACGGACCGGGGTCGAGGACTGAAGGGCCGCCGTGGAATCTGCGACTCCAGTCCTGGGAGGGAGGGCTCAATCCGGTTGGCTGTCTCTGCCATTCTAGGCTGCGGTCCCCGTTCACTTCTGGAATCCGCTTGCAGTTACCCCAGATCAGCGCCCCAGCAACCCTGCTGGCACCTGGGGTAAGGGCTGCTGTCCAGTTACTGTGTGAGCTCACTGGGGTGTGGATAAACAAAGGCCGTTATTTATTGGAGCTCTTGCATTTTGGTACGGTCCCTGGAGGTTCTGCCTCCCCTTGTAGCCAGAGGTAGAAGTCAAGTGGCTCCTCGAGGCTTTTCCCTGTTCCCGCTTCAGAGGAGTGAGGTCTTAGTTTCCACAGAACCCTCACCCTACCCTTGAATTCTACAAGGTTGTCTCTCTAGACTGTTTCTCTTGGTGTGTGTGTGTGTGTGTGTGTGTTCATGCCCTGCCTACCCTCAATGTGGTATGGGCTACTTTGGGAACATCAGCTTTTGTTGCCATTGGGTTGTCTGTTGGGAAGGTGACAGTTCACTGTCAGGGAAGATTATATTGCAAGAACGGCCCATTCTCGAGGACAGTGACTCCACAGCAGTCAGAAAAGGTCAAATGTATTTTTCCTTCTAGCAACAGTTTGTCAGGTTGGCTGATAGACATGGTCAGGTGCCTGTGTCTGCCTCACTAAGGAGCAAAGAACAGCTGTTGGTTGGTCGGTTTGTTTTCTTGAGACAGAGTTTCCCTATGTAGCCTTGGCTGTCCTGGAACTCAGCTCTGTAGACCAGGCTGGTCTGGGCTTGGAGATCTGCTTCCCTGAGATGGCTCAGCAGCTAAAACCTTGGTTTACAACCTTCATAATTTGTAATGGTTTGGGGAAATTTGCATGGCATTTTAGTTGCAGCCGGACATGGATCTGTTAAGTGTGAGGCCAACCAGAGCTAGCTATTCATTGAAGCCCTACTTCACAGGAAAATAGAAAAGAAATTCTTGGAACATTGCATCACAGCTGAGCGGCTTGAAGTCATCCTGTTCTATCAGTTTTTGCTTTTGAAAAAATGCATCTGTTATAATCCAGTTCATCTGTCTGGAAACAGTTTCAGTCTGTTGGGGAATTCCTATTTGTTTACTGGTACATCTTGGAAACATTAGATAAATGCAGAGAAACTTGCACCTAGCTCAGCCCAGGCAAATTACTCAATTACTCTCTGTACTCCCAGCTCTAGCAAGCAATCTGCCCCTGCAGTACTGAGGATGGGAACCAGGCTTCCTCACCAGGGGAAGTGTTTCCAGCCACACCCTAACCCCATTCATCCGGTTTTGTTTAACGTGTGAGCATTGTGCCTGCATGGCATCAGATCACCTGAGACTGGAGTTACAGGTGGCTGTAAGTGCTGAGAATCAAATGCAGGTTCCCAGGAACAGCTAGCACTCAGCTGCTACACCACTGTTCAGTTCCCACAGGTTCTTTGGAACAGTTTGCCATGTAGAGAACTTTCTCTGTCCTGTGAGTGCTAGGGAAGATGGCCACCATTCCTGGGAACATCAACAATTCTATGGTTTTACATGAAACTGTCTAGCCCTGTTTTCCCGTGAGCCCTCTGGGGTATGGGGATCATTCCTTAGTGAAGGCAGAAACCACATTGCCTAAGCACTTCGTACCTTACCTTTCCAAAAACATGTACCCCCTGCCTCAGACTTGTGCTTCCCCAGCTCTGAACACAATCCAAACTACTACAAGAGCCAAAGCTGATTTTATTCCGAAATCTTTATTAAGGCAGCATGATAGAAATGGGCCAGCAGCCCAAACCTTGTGGCCTGAGGAAAGACCTGTGTCCATAGGGCCTACCCTCTCTCCAGAAAGCTCAGTCACCTCCGCAGCACCCATCCCCACTCAAACCCTCTCCGCTGGAAAATGAGGTGGAGGGCTAAGGAGAGGAAGGCATGACCCCATCCCAGGCTGTAGCAGCTCCTGGGCCACAAAGCGCCAGCAGAGGGGAGGGAAAGAGCAACCACCAGGGTTACCACCACTTGTGGAGTACAGGCCTCACTGTACCCTCCTACAGTTGTACTCAAAGCAATAAATTAAAATGACCATCAGCACCCCTCAAGATCCCTCAATCACAGAAGCCAAGCAGGAAGCAAAGCAACAATTTGTGGGTTCTTGCTCTTCTGACCAAGGCCTAGTCTGTTCCCTCTGAGAGCAGCCGGGAGTATGGGGTTACACAGCGACCATGCAGCTTGGCCCTTCATGCATGTCTGTCAGGATGCCTGAAGAACCTGAAACTAAACGCAGTGACGCTGGGAGGGACCACCCCTTTGGAAGGTCCAGGGGTGTTTTGGCAACTGAGAAGATTGGAGCCTCAGACAGAGGAGGGACTCGAAAAGGAATGCTGCTGCATGGTTTTTACCTGCTTTGAATTTCTCCGACCAGCATGGCCCCAAACAGCCAAGCTGGTCAAGTGGGAAGGAAGAGGAGCTGGCTGGCCATGACCGCATGGCCAGCCAGCCCCTTAGTGCACACTGTGGGGATAGGCAGGACCTGGCCCCTTGGGCTTTGTGAGGGGAAGAAGAGCCCCCCTCGGGCTTCAGACACGGCATGGATTGTTCCTACAGGCAGGGAGGGGGTGGCAGCGGCCCCTCCTCTGCTCGGCGGCCACCTGGGGGGGCCTGTCCCAAGCTACAGGTGGATGGCAGTGACATCTGTGGGAGTGCTGGTCTGACTGGGCCCCTGGCTGCTAGAGCCCCGGGGGGCTTTGGGCACTGGGCTGGGGGCTGTCTGGGCAGCTTCCCTGAGGCTCTCCCTGAGCGCAGCTTCGATCTGCTCCTGACAGGCACGCAGGCAGTCCTAGGAAGAAGAAGGTCATCCAGACGGAGCTCTCCCCACAGCCCTGACGACAGGCAGGTGCAAGGGAAAGGCCACCACCCCTGTGCATGGGGAAGTCTGGGGAGGTTAGGCCACAGCCCAGCCCAGGAATCAAGTCTTTAGTTCTCAGAAACTGGCAAGAGGATGTGGCAAGGGTGTGAGAGCAACACTACATCTGACACCAAGTCCCCCACCCCTGGCCGCAGCACACCGCTTGGCAAGAGAAGGGCATCTATGTACATGCAGTGTCCTTCACCCCGCCCAGCCCTCTCCAGACTGGAGCAGGAGATAAAAGGCCACGGAAGCGGGCCCGGGGCGTGCAGTCCCGGCTGGGGCTGGGTGCGCCCTCTGCTGGGGATTCAGGGCAATAGTGCCGCTTCTTGTGAATGGGGCCGAGACTTACCACTTCAGTGCCTGTGATTCCTGCCAGAAACTCTGTGAGCTCATCTGCAGACATAGAGCACGCGCCTAGGCCTTGTACTGCAGCCCCAATGCTGCCTGTGGCGATCATGGATGGAGGATACATCGCAAAGGTGTAATCTTTTAAAAGAGAGGGAACCATGAGAAGAAAAGCCCCTTATACTTTCTCCTTGTTCCAACACCCCGGGCTGCATAACTCCAGCGTTGCTACAGCACACTACAGCGGTGGGTGGGTGGAATGACACAGGGCCAAGGGGAGCAGGCAGATCCTAGGGAGGGGAGGGGTTGGTGTGTGTGCAAGGTGCGGGAAATTTGGCTGAGGCACACACTATCGCTGAACAGCAAAATTTCCCATCGACCCAGACTGGACCTGGCCAGAAACTAGAAAATGTCCAAAAGCCTGGGGTGAAGACCTTAGGTACGTCTTCTGTAGGCACGTCTTCTTAGGTACGTACGTCTGTACTGATCGCTACTACCGACTGACTACCGAAACAACCTCCTGGCTGCTACTTATCCTTCAAGCCTGGTTTTCCCACATTGGCTCTTACCTGTAGCACAGAGGGCCAAAAAGGTCTGGGCATGCTTTTTGACCAAGGCCTGTCGGTCACTGGGCAGAGAAAGGCGGTGCAGAATCAGGACCAGGAAATCATGTGCGATCACTGCAGCCAGGTCCCACTTGAGCTTCCCCAGGACCAGCACCTCCCATTCCTGGGGGTCGGGGAATGAACACAGAGTCAGGAGTGAGAATCTGACAGAAGGTTCAGTTTTGCCTCTGGTTTCAGGGGCTGGCACTATGGGCTGATGAGCTTAGGGCAGGAAGGAGCTAGGGGCACTTCCTTAAGCATCTATCAAGCACCACTGGGTGCTAGGATGGGATGAATTATCCCTCTTAATCCTCCCATGAATCTGAGGCTGGAGTAAGTTGAAGCAGAAAGACTAAATTTCAAGGACTAGGGAAACCTCTCCTTCCGGAGTCCTGCATCTCGGCCAGGTCTCTTAAACACAATGAGCATGAGGCCACTCCTAAGGCTCCTCAGAGGGGAGGTTGCCCAACCCAACCCACACCCCCATCTGTGGGACACAACAGGGGTGGGTCCTGCCTCAAGACAGAGGGAGGCCAAGCCAAACAGGATGAATCCAGATGACCCCTGAGGAACCTACCCAAGCCTACAAAAACCATTAGGAGGCTCGGAGCCCCAGCCCCAGTCCACTTGTCTGAAGTTCCTAGACCTGGCCTGAGTTTCATTTCCGAGTTGCACACATGAGGATTTCTTCATTGTTTTATCTCAGGAAGGAACTCGTGGGTTTGACTCCTCACTGAGGTAGAAATGACAGCCCCACCCAACCTCTTCCAGGGCCCCCAGCAACAGCTGACCTTCCCTTTGTCCCATGACCTAGGTGTCAGCCCCAGGCTTCTTACAGGACCCCACAGACACAGCCTGGGCTAGAGCGAGCAGTAAGGCAAGGCCTGAGTTCTTTGCCCTGGGGCTTGCCATGGTAACCAAATAGCATCTAGCCTGCAAGGGAACACCCACGAGGCAACCTGGAAGTGTGTGGGGTCCTCGCTGAGGAAAGATGGCCTTCCCCCCCAGTATGCAGACAACACGAGAAATCTCAGCCCTGCTGCAAGAACACAGTGGCTGGCAGCATACATCTCCTCCCTGGTTTCAAGGCGCTCTGGTTGGAATTTTCCCCTCCTTTCTCGGGCCTCAGCCTCTGCTGTGCATGGATTTGGACTGCTAGAGTTCTCAGAGGTTCCTCACGGCCCGACCACACGCCATTCATAGCTCAGGCCTTGAGCAGGAGAAGGACTTGCATCTTCTGAACCCCCCCCCTCACACAGTCATGTAGACCACCCTAATCTCTTCCCAAAGAGGAAGTCTCCTACCTCCCAGCCCCAATCCCTCAAAAAACATCTTGCTCCCTGCCTCTGGAAACTACCAGCTTCATCACAAAGAGCCGTGGGGCCTCCCAGATTCCCAACTAAGGCCTCCCATCCGTGAGAGCTGCTTGACAGGAAGAGGAATCCAGTTCCCCAGCTCACAGCAGTCAGGGGCCCCAGTACCCTAGCTTCCCAGCCAGCCAATCACATTAATCTGCCTGCCGCCCTCCTCCCTAGGAGATGGGGCCCAGAGACGACTCTCAGGGTCAGGGAAGGCTTGGCCAGCCACACAACAAGGTGGAGGGAGGTGCCAGCTCACCCACCCTCCTCTCCCCCAGACCCTGTGGGAGATGATGTTCATGCTCTCTTCCAGATCCAAGCAGTTCCTCCACCTCCTCCCTAGACTCCTCCCGGGCAGGGCAAAACCCAACCGATTTCTGCCCCGCCGGGAGGAGCCCAGCCCAAGTTCCCAGCAAGAGGCCCCCGAGGAGCCACTTCCCAAACCACAGGAGTGACAGCAGCTCCCCACAGGGTTATGAAAGCCCTTGGTCTGAGTGGGAGGGCCAGGGGACCAGCGGCATTATCACATCGGAAGCAGCTGCAGCTCAGCAGCTCAGCTCCCTCTCTGTCTCAGCTCTGGCCTTTGGCTAAGAGGCAAAGGGAAAGACTCTTCCACGGGGCCCAGAGCAGCAGCTGCTCCAGTTTTTCAGAAGGAAGACAGGGAAGGGAGGGTTCGGAAGGAGCGGTGTCTTTGGGGAAAGAAGGGAAAGGGATGAAAACACCTCAGCACTTCCAGCAATCAGGGCCTGGCTTTAATCAGCCCTGGGAGGCTTTTCCATCACAAAGTCCACACGGGGATAAAGCCTCATGCAAGGCAGCCCCCTCCCCCACGTGAAGCACATTCCACTCCGGTGGGGGTGTGCAGACATGCCCTGCTGCCAATAAATAACTCACGGTGGCTGTGTAAACCCAGAGGCAAAGTACTAGTGTATAGACCCGCAACTGGACTTGCTGCTATCTGGAGGAAAGACAAGTCGGGAGCGGAAGCCCACCGCAGTCAGAGGAAGGGGGTTCACGGAGTTTCAGGCCCGAGGCTGAGGCACGACCACCACACTACGGGGCCTCGGTCCCACCTAGTTCTTTTCCAAAATACCAGCCAGGGGCGAAGGAAGGGTTGGGAAGTGAGGGGGTGCGCCTGGCTTTCTTCTCTCTAGGGCGACTCTATGCTGCACGAGCGGGGGAACAGGGGGATTCCACACGCACCCGCAACTGCCAGGGAGCCACAGCTTGGTCGGTATAGATGCAAAGCTTCTCAATGGTCAGGGGCGTGGTTTCGCGCAACTTGGAGGCCAGCAACAGGCAGACGGTACCTAGAAGCTGCAACTGCGCCTTTCGGGTGGGGACGCAGGACAGGTAGCGATCCAAGTAGTTCATCGCCAGAGGGAAGACATCCTCCTCGCAGCGCTGCTCCTCACACACCTGAGGGACGGCGCACGAGTCACGGCCAGGGCAGGACCAAGTGAGACACAGCGGCATGGGGCGGGGGTGGGGGTGGTGGAGGGAGAGTGGAATGTGGAGCAAAAAATAAACGGAGAGGGGATAAACTCACAGCGGCGAGTATCAATAACCGAGGAGGATGCGCCCTCCCCAAGGTGACCCCCCCACTTCCTCTGCATGGTCTCCTCCCCACCCCGGAGCGGGCGGGGGGGGGGTGGAAAGGAGAAGAGCCCATGCACACGAAGGATTCTAGACTCCCCTCCCCCACGGCGGGCGGAAGGGGGGACGGAAGGGTCACCTAGAGAGAATTGGGACCTTACCCTCATTACCACCACCCACTCCCCAGGGGAAGGGAGGGAACTCCTGCCGCGGTCTCCCGCACTTTTCATTTCCCTGTGGACCGGAACCAAGCGCGCGCCACCCCCACAAGCTTCCCCCGCCAGAATCCCGCGACAGACACAGGAACCAGTTCTGGGGCCAAGGCGGCCGAGCCCAGGGTTTCCCAAACGTGCTCTCCAGAGAGCACCGAGTAAGGAAGGAAGCAGGAGACACCGAGAGAGGCCAGAGGGGGAAGAATGGCCCTTAGCCCGCATTCCCGACCCAAAAGTGAAGATTAGTTACAGTGCCAAGTAACTGGCAAGTCACAGAAGAAGTCGATCAGGATTGGGGAAAGGAAAGGGACAGAACGCAGGCAGCTGGCTGGGGTGCCTGTGGGAAAAGGCCAGGCCCGTGCAGTCTGGGACGCCAAAGCATCTTGCAGATTGTGGTCGGGATCGTGAAGTCCCGACAGGGCAACTTCGCTTTGCCCGGGGGTGGGGGTGGGGTGAGGAGAGGGGACCCGTCCGGGCCTTACCTCCAGCATCCAGTACGCCAGCATCTTCCGCATGTGCGGCTTGATCTCCTTCTGCACGCACTGGAAGTAGGAGGCTCGTGGCACGTAGCGCTCCTCCAGGCGGAGCAAACTCTGCAGGACACGCTGGTCCCCCAGCAGCTGCGGGTCGGGCCCGGCCCGGGGCGCGTGCCGGGTGCCCTCGCAACACAGCAGCTCCATCCTGCGACGGCTCACGGGCGAGAGTGAGAGCGCGGGCTGGCGAGTCCTTGGAGAGGCGACGCGCGTGAGGGAGAGCGCGGGGTGCGGGCGGGTCTGGCGCTGGAGCTGGCACTGTGCGGAGAAGCCCCAGCCCGCCCGCCACCCGCGCGCACCGCTTCCCTGACAGGCGCCCCGCCCCTCGCGACGAAGTAGCAACCGTGGAATGCTCCGACGTCACAACGTTCTAAAGGGGCGGGGCCGCAGACGGAAAGGGCTGGCGGGTGCTGTACCCTCCCTCCCCGCAGCCCCATTGGTCCGCTGGGCTCCGGCCCGCAGGCTTCCGGGCCCTCCGGGCCCTCCGGACGAAGAAGGTGGAGAGAACTTTCTGGGAAGCGTGCCCTCTTCCCCATCAATGGGCCCGGTCGCGACTCTAGCCACCCGGGAAAGAACTAGTCGCCAAAAGTTATTCACTCGCGTGCGCGCCCTGTTTCATTGATCTAGGAAATGTGGCAACAGCTTACTCCTTCTCCCTAAGGTGGGTTCTAGGAATAGACTGAGTCGGGCTATATTTTGCAGGCCAGGAAACTGAGGCACAGCAGTAGCAGCAAAGAAGTCACTGTTAGTCTTTCGAGAAACCTGGGCTCCAGAGTCTTGTCTACAAAGACGAATCCCGCAGACCTGCAGCAGTTTCTGGCCAACTCGGTACCTCAGAGGGTGAAGGAGCCTGGCAGCAAGTCTGACAACCTGAGTGGAATCCCTGGGACCCACGTGGTGGGAAGAAAAGGAATCCGTTCCCACAAGCTGTCCTCTGATTTCCACACCAATGCTGTTGCATGTGCACGCGCCCCTCCCCCCACCCCCCACCACCACCACCACCACACACAAATAATACAAATGAAAAGCAAAAGGAGAAATGCAGTTTCTCAGATCAGCTGAATGGGACACTGAATTGTTTCAAGGTTCGTTTGAGGAACACTTGAAGTAGGAGCGGTGTTGGTCAAAAAAAAATCAGCACATTAAAATAAAACCCAGCTGTAGTTGGATGTGGTGGTGCAAGCCCGTAATCTCAGAACTGGGGAAGCGATGGCAGCCTGGCAGTCCTTCGTCACTTAGGATTCGCAGACACTTCAAGGCCAGCCTAGGTCAGTCTCTCGGTCTCTCTGTCTCTCACACACACACACCTATGAGAGAGAGAGAAGCTTCCACTATGGCTCAGGTGGTAGATTTACCATGCTCAAGACCCAGGGTTCAATCCCCAGCACTGTAGAAACTGGGGATGGCATCCCATACCTGTAATTCCAGCACTTGGGAGGTGGAAACAGGAGGATCCAAAGTTCAAGGTCATTGTTGGCTACCTAATGAGTTCAGGACCAGCCTGGGCTATGTAAGAGCCTATCTCAAAAACAAAAACAACCAAACCTAATAATAACAATAATAGCTTATGTGTATAATGCCAAGACTTTGGAACTATGGTAAATTTCCAGGACCACAATGAGACCCTGTCTCCGAACAAAATCAAATAAAAAAATCAGAATTGGGCACGATGGCACATGTCTGTAATCAAACACCTGGGAGGAGGAAGAAGACCCGTGGAGAACTCCATGCCAGCCAGGCCCACATTAGAAGACTAAAACAAAAAGAAAAGAAAAAGGAAGAGGGGGGGGAAGAAAGGAAAAGAAAGTAGTAGAAGGCTGAAGTGGTGCACGATAGAGCACACCTTTAATCCCAGCACTTTGCAGACAGAGGCAGGCAGGTTACTTTGAGTTAAAAGCTAGCCTGATCTAAGTAGAGAGTTCCAGGTCAGCCAGAGCTGTATCATGAGGCTTTGTCTCAAAAACAAAAACAGTAGGAAAGCAGGAAGGAAGAGGAAAGGAGGGAAGGAAGGAAGGAAAGAAGGAAGGAAGGAAGGAAGGAAGGAAGGAAGGAAGGAAGGAAGGAAGGAAGGAATCCCATCACACAGACACTGCTCTTCCTGCTCAGTCCAAGTGAGCTCTAGGACAGCAGAGGACACAGTATACACAGTGAGGTACTAAGGGGTCAGAATCCACCACTGCGCGCTCATGTGGGAAGAATGGGGCATGATGGGATTAGTTTAGCGGCAGAAGGTCACCTCCCCAGTGGTTTTCTTCTTTGTTAAGATGGTGTCTTACTGTATAGCCCCCTGCTGACCTTGCACTCTGTCTTCCTGCCTCAGTTTCCCAAGTGTGTACCGCCATGCTTATTCCAAACTGTACACATAAGAAACTGGGGAGGGGACATTCTTTGAGACGGAATCCTATGGAACCCAGGCTGGCTTTGAACTTAGTTGAGGCTGGATTTGATCTTCCTGCCATTACCTCCCAACCAGTGAGCACTACTCACACAGACAGTCTGTTAGTTTTTGATACAGGGTCTCCCTATGTAGCACTGACTCTAGCTAAGCCAGGATAGCCTCCAGCTTGCAACAATCTTACTGCCTCTTCCTCTCACTTTCTGGGATTGCAGGCATGCACCAGCAAACTTCCTGTCCTTGAAGGCAAAGACAAAGTCCTGTGTAGCCGGGTATCCTCCGGATACACCACCTCACCGGGACAGCCCACAACAGTATCGGGTATTCACGTGCGTGCAGTATGCCCCAGAACCAAACATACCTATGACGTAATAAATCATTTTATCTTCCCAACAGCCTAACAGGAAGTACATTATTTCGGCCGTTTATAACAGGGCCTGGGTGCTAATACTCCAATTGAGTGGCTAAGTAACCATCGAGAGGTCATAAAGCCAGTAATTGCTGGAGACAGGCTCCAGTCCAGTCTAGCTCCAGAGTTCACGCCCTTACAGGGTGGGCATCAGGAGGGAGAGAGATGCTAGGGCTCCAAGCCAGGACTTGGTACATGCTAGGCGGGTGTGCTCTACCCCTGAGCTACCTCTCTAACCCCATAGCTTCGCTGTATTTTTAATAAGCTTGAGGACCCTTTCATTCCAGTTTAAGAATGAAGACAGGGAAGGCAGCTGCCAGGAAGAGGGAGATGAACTGAAGAAGAGAGAAATCCTGGCCTTTTGAGTTAGGATCAGCAATGGAGACCTGGGAGCATCCTTAGAAAAGGGAAGAAGTGTCTTCCGACAAAAACAAAACAAAACAAAAACAGGAAGAAAGCCCTTAGTGCCACAGCAAATGCGCTTTGGATTTGGAAGAGAGAATGAGGGAAATGGAAAAGTTAAACACTCCAACTGAGAACTCAGAAAATGGGGAGGCTTAGCTGTAGAGCTCTGAGAGAGCTCCGTCCTGTCCCAGCTCTTAACTGCTTCATTCCATTTGCCCCTTGTCTGTCCCATGGATGTGCACTGACTTACTCCTTTTGATCTGTTAACTGAGAAAGGGCACCCAGAGACAGGTGAATCGGAGATGCTTTCCGGGATTAGCTGTTCAAGAGCCTCTCTGTCTGGGGCCTTGAGGGCCAAGGAGCTGGCCACTGAGGAAGCGGGTGGCTCCTCGGAAGAAGCCCTGAGAGGTACACTGACCTGCTTCACCATCACTACCCCTCAAAGAACAGACCTAAGAAGACAAAGCCACAAAGCAAGGGCTGGGAATGTAGCTCAGCCGGAAGAGGGTTTGACTAACACCCTCGAAGCCCTACATTCAGTTCCCAGCACTGGCTAAAACCGAGTAAAACTGGGCAAAAACAGGTGTAGTGGTGCACTCCGGTAATCTCCACACTCAGGAAGTGGAAGCAGGAAGATCAGAAGTTCAAGGCCACCCTGGACTACACGAGACTCCGTCTCAAAAATAAAATAAATTAAAATAAAAATAAAAAAAAAATAAAAAAAGAAGAGAAGGGAAGGTAGGGCAGCGAGCAGCAGGAGTTAAGACAAAGCGCTTCAGGCCAGGTGCATCCAATTACAAAGTTGCTCAAATGAAATGGTAAATGAGAGGAAGGATGGAATGTGATGTCACCCGCCAGGGGGAAAGCCTGGGGGAAGAAGGACACAGTGCCTTCTTCCTCCTCCTACTCCCTCACCTCCTTATCACTGGAAGGTCTCCATTTGAAACCCAGAAGGGGGAACAAGGTGACAGGTGAGGCCCATCACCTCACAGTTACCTTCAGACCTACTGTGACAGGAAGAGAGACGACCAGATATGGGGCTAAGATGAGGGGATACCCACCCCAAAACAAGAAGGTGGACAAAGTTCTGGAGTGAGGCCACTCTCCCTTCCAAAGGTGGGTCCACGCCCTGTGACTCTGAGGAAAGACCAATCCTCTCTTGCCTGCTTCTCTTTTCATTCAGTTGGGTAATAGCAAAGGGGAAGGGGGGGGGCTGAAGACCAGAAGGCCCCAAGTATCTTGCACATTTAGGGGGCAAAGCGAACATGCAAATGTGGTAGTTTCTAAACTAATTGTGGTGTCCAGTCCCTAGAACCCTAGCGCTCTTGAGTCTGAGGCAGGAGGGATGCTGCAGGTTCAAGGCCAGCCTGGACTACCCAGTACTGAGACCCATCTTCCTGAAAAAAATGGTTATTTCTGTAATAACAATTTTCCCTCTCCCTCTCTTTCCCTCTTACACCCTTTTCTGAGTTAGGTGTAGCTCAGTGGTAAAGCACTTACTCAGAATTCATGAGGTCCCTAGGTTCAATTCCCCAGACCCACAGTAGTGGAAAAAAGTTAGTCATGATTATAGTTCTTAAAAGCCAAACTTGTTGCCAAGCAACAAGGCAGTGGCACTCGCCTTTGATCCCAGCACTTGGGAAGGCAGATCTCTGTGAGTTCAAGGCCAGCCTGATCTACAAAGCGAGTCCAGGACAACCAAGGACACACAGAGAAACCCTGTCTCGAAAAGCAAAAAACAAAAACAAGCAAGCAAGCAAGCTGGGAATACAGTTCGCTGGTGGAGCACTTGTGTTGGTTTAATCCCCAGGAGCACAGAACAATCAGGACACTCTCCCTGATGCACACTGAACACAGAGGTGGTAACTCTGGCAGATCCCATTTTGCTAACGACCTCTAAGGCTAGGACTCGGAGCTTTAGTACTTCCGCTTTGTGCTATTAGGTGCTGTTGGTACACTCTTAGAGAGACGGGCAATGAGAGACCCCAAAAGCATATGTGATACACAAGGGCAACTAGCCCAACAAGCAACTATCTGCACAATCCCAGACATTGACCTGGGGAGCAGCACCTGGGGACAATTTTCTGGTGTGTCCCTCTTCTCCCACCATGGCTTCCAAACCCAGGTCTTTTAAGTTTGTCCAGCAAGTGCTTTTACCTGCTGAACCGTTTACCTGTGGAGCCATTTTTGTGGCTCCACCCTTTTTTTTTTTTTTCTTCAGATAGTGTCTCATGTAGGCCAAGCTTCCCTCTAACTTGATGTATAGTTGAGGAGACCCTTGAATTTCTTTTTCTTTTGAGGCAGGGTGTTGTGTATCAGGCTAGACTTCAACTTAATATGGCCTGGAACTCCTGATTCTCCTACCTCCACCTCCCCTGGGGCAGGAATGATAGGACATTACAGTGGGAGGCCCCATCCCTGGTCACGTGTTGCTAGGGAAGGGACCTCACATACTAGGTGCTCTAGCAAACAAGCTTGTATACTCCCTACCCTTTTGTTTTGTTTTGTTCTTACCTTTTTCAGACAAGGTTCTGCTGTGCGCCCTGACCGGCCAGGCGCTCATGATGTAGCCTAGGCTGGCCATGCTCTTGCCCCGGCTTCCCAATCAAAGGGATCACAGATAAATGCTACCACAAAGCTACATTCTTTACCACCGTGCTGTGGTGCTGGCCGGCAGCCTCTGCCCTGTTTGCAATAAAGAATGGGGCCTCGTGGACTACCGGAACAGATCTCCCTCCTGGATGACACTGCTTGAGCCACTGATTAACCTGGCCGAGGCCACCTCTGGACTTCCCGTTAGGAATGAACTAACACGTCCTCCTTATTGTCTCAATCACTTTCACTCTTCAAGTGAAAGTACGACTCTATCCCCTACATACCTGGCATCTTCGTACCGGGCTAGCCTTCAGCGGCAAGCAGGCCAAGTTTTACAAACATTCAACAAAGGTGTCATCACCCACTCAGAGAATGGCAAAAGAGAGGCGACATCTCAACTAATTCTATTTTATTAACTTTTACTTGTTTTTGGTTGTGCATGGTAGTGCGCGGCTTTAATCCCAGCACTCAGGAGGAAGTGGCATTCAAGGCTGTGTAGTTGAGTTGATAGAGTGCTTGCCTAGCATGAAGAGAGCCGAGACAGACCCCCAGCACTACAGAAACCCACATGTGATGGCACACCATAGGATCCTAGCACCTGGCAGTAGAGGCAGGAAGTTCAGAAATTCAAGGCTGTGGGTCCGGAGAGGTGGCTCTTCAGCAAAGAGCACGCGCTGTTCTCCTGGAGGATCCAAGTTCAAGCAGCTTGTAACCGTCTATAACTGCAGCTCCAGGAACTCTGATGCTTCTGGCCTCCACAGGCACCTGCACATATCCACGTGCAGACACACAACCCTGCACACAGATAAAGACAAGCCGGTACTGCACGCCTTTAACCCCAGTGCTCAGGAGCCAGAGGCAGATCCAACGATCTCTGTGAGCTTGAGGCCAGCCTGGTCTACCTACTGGGCTCCAGTCCATCCATAGCTACACAGTGAGACCCTGTCTCGAAATAAAAATCTTTAAAAAGAAAGAAGCTCAAGGAAAGGCTAGAGAGATGGTTCAGTGGTTAAGAGCAAGCAGTGCTCATTCAGAGGACCCTGAGTTCAAGTCCCAGGACCCATATCAGAGGGATCCCAACCACCTGTAACTCCAGCTTCTTGGGGATCTAACACCTGCATTCATGCACACACACACAAAAATAATTTTTAATTTTTTTTTTTAAGTTCAAGGTTTTCAAGGTTGTTTTCTATATAAGAGTTTGAGACCAGTCTGGAATATATGCAAAAAGAGAGAAAGAGAGTGAGGCAGCTGGGGAGGGATGTTTACAGGGTGGAGGAGAGCTTTGTCTGGTAGTAAAACGCACAAGAAGATGAGTTTGGATCACTGGCACACATGTAAAAGGGCAGACGCTATAGTACGTGACTATAGTCCCAGCCCTGGGGAGGCAGAGATAAGAGGCTTCCAGGAGCTTGCTGGCCAGCCAATCTGCTCTATCCATAAACTCCAACGTCAGCGAAAGACCCTGTCTCAAAAAATAAAACAAAGGGCCATGAAGGAAGACGAAGTCCTCAATTTCTAGGCTCCACGGGCACAAATACTCACATAAGTATATACACGACTACACACCTAACAAATAAAGACTTTTTTTTATTTTTGTTTTTGTGAGACAGGGTCTCTCTGTGTACCCTGGCTGTCCTGAACTCACTCTATAGATCAAACTGTTCCAGAACTCGGAGATCCACCTGCCTCTGCCTCCCGAGTGCTGGGATTAAAGATGTTCACTGCCACTCCTGGCCCATCTTGACAGATTTTTTTAATGAATTAGTTATTATTGAACGTGTATGCGGGACTCGGGGGGACACAGGATGCACTCATGCCATGATGTGCAGTGTGCATGCAGAGCCTTTGGGGGGTCTGTTTTCTCCCTCCACTTTAAAGTGGGATCCAGCAGTCAAACTCAGGCCATCAAGCTTTCCCAGAACACACTTTCCCTCCTGAGTCATCTCACAGGCCTTAGGTTTCCGCCCCACCCCCCACCCCCAAGGTCATTTGAGAGTCATCCAATTCACTCATCCCTTAAAAGTACTCGCCACCAACCCTGATGAGCTGAGTTTGAGTCTCATTTTTGTCTATAACAACACAAGACCTATGGTGTACAAGAAGAAGAACAATTGCTGCAGTTTCTTCTGCTGCCCAAGTGCGCATGCGTGCACACCTACACACTCGCAAAAGAAATTAGATTCTTTGTTAGTGCACGCCTTTAATCCCAGCACTAGGGAGGCAGATCTCTGAGTTTGGGGCCACCCTGATCTATAGAGTGAGTCCCAGGACAGCTGGAGATACACAGAGAAACTCTGTTTAAAAAAAAAAAAAAAATTTTAAGTCTAACATTCAACCACTCGACCTCTGCTCGTAACTCAGAAGCCACTACAAAATGAAAAAAAAAAAAAAAGTAAGTGCTAAGCTAAAGCCAGGCTCTCTCTTCAGAACTATGACTTCAATAGATCAATAGATCTCAGGTGTATAGAGACTGTTAAGAACTGGAGATACGCCAGAAAAGGAGATCACACCAGGTCCAGCAACTCCCTATCTGAGACAGTGCACCCAGAGGCACTCCATGGGTAAAGCCTGGGGCCATGACCCCACTTCAGGGAGGCATCCCAGGCATGCCCTGGGTGACCTGCCTTAGCTCCTTTCTTCTTCTCGTCCCCCGCCTCCCTTTTCTTGTATCTTTGTGTGTGTGTGTGATGTGAGATGTGTATGTGTGTATATACATATGTAGAAGTCATATTAGAGGTTCTCACCCTCTACTCTGGTAAGACAAGGTCTGTTTATATACCCTGGGCTAGCTTCCAGACATGCTCCTGTTTCTACCCCTCATCCCATCATATGCTTGTAGAGCAAGCATTTTACTTCCTGCTTTGTCTTCCCATACTCACCCTCCCCCAACAGTCCCCTCTCGGATTTTCAAGATAGGGTTTCTCTGTGTAGCCCTGGCTGTCCTGGAACTCACTGTGTAGACCAAGCTGGCCATGAACTCAGAGATCTGCCTCCCTCTGCCTGAGATTAAAGGTGTGCACCACCACCGACAGGCTACCAACTAATTCCAATGTAACATTAATTCCGAAACCCAAAGAGAAGCTAGACATCACGGTGCATGCCTAAAATCCAGCTGGGAGGTAGGCGAGGGCAGAAATATTGCAAGTTCCAAGCCTGCCCGGGCGACTCTGCAAGATCGTGTTTCAGGCTGTGCGTGCAGCTCAGCTGGTGCAGTGCCTGTCTGAAGTGTAGGAAGCCCCACTGAGAGTCCCTAGTACTGTGTCAATTGAGCTTAATAGTTCAAGTCTCCACACCAGGAGGAGAGCAGGGGAATTAGAAAGTCAAGGGACTGGGAGGGGAAGAGGGAGGGGGCTACCGCCGGAATACAAAGAGAATAAATTGTAAGCAATCAATCAATCAATATAAAAAAGGAAAGAAAGTCAAGGTCACCCTCTAATAAGTGAGTTTGGGATATAGGAGACCCTGACTCAAAAGTAAAAAATACCTAAGGGCTGGTATAACTCCTTGGTAGAACATCTGCCTGGCATGTTAGAGATCCCAAGTTCAAACCCCAGCACAAGAGGAAGGAGACGCAAGGACAGTATATGGAAAGAAAAGTACCCTTAAGGGCATGGATGCAAGCCCTGGATAAGGTCCAGCCACAGCCACTGGAGATGCTGAGATGCTCAGCAGTAAGGACATGTACTACCAAGCCCGAGGACCCGAGTTCCCTCCCGGACCCATAGAGCAGAACGAGAGAACCAAATCTCCTAAGTTATCCTCTGACCTCCACACTCATATCACGGCACACCTATACACCCTCTCTCTCTCTCTTTCTCTCTCTCTCTCTCATGACACACACACACACGCAGAGAATCTAACTAATTAATTAATGTAATTTTAAGCCTACAATTCCAATATTGAAGAGGCAGGCAAACATTCTGGAGTTCAAGGCCAGTTTGGTCTACATCTTGAGACAAAGTTGTCTCAAAAGCAAAGCAAATGACCCCCTCCCCGCAAGTAAAAAAATTGATAAGTGAATAAAAAGAACATTATATACTAAACTAGATGTTGACTTATTATTTTTCTTTTTATTTTTAAACTGGAGCTAGCATGAAATTCTGTTACTATATTTCTGGGTTTATTTATTTTTTATTTTCTATCTATCTATCCATCCATCCATCCATCCATCCATCCATCCATCCATCCATCCATTTGAGACACGGGGTCTCACTGTGGAGCCTTGGCTGTCCTGGAACTAACCCTATGTAGACCAAGCTGGCCTGACACTCACAGAGATTTGCCTGCCTCTGCTGGGATTGATGGTGTAGGTCATTACCGTGCCGCTCGCTCACTTTCCTCACACTTTAGGGCCTGGTCCCATTCTGGATTTCTCCCTTGCTCTGATTTGCTGATTCGGTCACTGCCTACTGGGAACACACAGCACTCCCTTGGATCTCTTAGATCCTACTTTTCCTGTCCATCCACTCCTTTCGTTTTATTTGTTTATTTGTTTGTTTTGAAACAAGACCCCATGCAGCTCAGTGGCATCCTGATCCTTCTGCTTCCATCTAAGTGCTGAGATTATTAACATGCATCATGCCAGACTCCACAGATTTCTCAAAATCTACCACCAAATAAATTCCATCACAGCAGAGAAAAGGGAATGACATTAGGAACTCGACCCCACGGTCTGATCGTGTCCTGTGTAAACCTCGTATTTGCTCCAAGTCTTCACATTCTGTCTCAGAAAAGTATACATTTTTAGATTCTGGTCCATGGTATAGCCCTGGATAATGCATAAATCATGGCTTCTAACAGAAAAATAAGTAAAATAAATTTCTTTTTTATTTCGTTTAATTATTATTTTTTTCGAGACAGGGTTTCTCTGTGTAGCCCTGGCTGTCCTAGATTCTCTTTCTAGACCAGGCTGGCCTGGAACTCACAGCGATCTGCCTGACTCTGCCTCCCTAGTGCTGGGACCACAAGTGTGTGCCACCATGCCCAGCTTAAACATGTTTTTTAGTATATATTTATTTATGAGAGAGGCACACATATCACTGTGTTTTTGTAAAGATGAGAGAAAAACTTACAGGAATTTGTCCTCCCACTATTGTGGGTCCCAGGGTTTGAACTCAGGCTCTCTGGCTTGGTGGCAGCTTACCCACTGAGCCATCTCCTAAAGGCTTTGAATTCTTTTTTTTTTTTTTGTAAATAATTTGTTTAATTTTATGTGCATTGGTGTTCAGATGTCAGACCACCTGGACTGCTCACAGACAGTTGTGAGCTGCCATGTGGGTGCTGGGAATTCAACCCGGGTCCAGTGGAAGAACAAACAGCGCTCTTAACCCCTGAGCCGTCTTTCCAGCCCTAAGGCTTTGAATTCTTAGGGCTAAAGAAAGACAAACTCCAAGGAAGCTACAAGTCATTCAAATGGCAGAGGGGTTTCTTTTCCTTTTCTTTTTTTTTTTTTCATTTTTTTTTAATTTTATTTTTCTTTTTAGTTACATTTTGTTAACTCTGTGTCCCAGCTGTATCCCGCTCCTTTTCCTTTTCTTAAACATTTTTTTTAATTTTTCTTTTCTTTTTTTAAAGATTTATTTATTATTTATACAACATTCTGCCTGCACACCAGATCTAACTATAGATGGTATGAGCTACCATGTGGTTGCTAGGAGTTGAACCTTTGGAAGAACAGTGAGTGTTCTTAACCTCTGAGCCATGTCTCTAGCCTGGCAGATGGGTTTCAATGTGGGGGGGGGGGTTTGATCCAAGTTGAAAGCCTAGGCCCCCATTGCTATTGCAAAACTTTCTGAAGCACCCCATCTCCACACTGCTCCTGGAGAGATGCTCAACCCCGTGGCCCAAGGCCATCAGATTAATCTCTCAGTGACACCTCTTTCATCCCAGTCCAAGGACCTGCTTATCAGGTCGGTTTATAAGTCAGCCAGCCTAGCTTTTCAAGTTCTCTTTTGAGAGGCCCAGCTGCCCTATTCAATGTTATCTGGTCCACAACACTCTAGCCCACCTAGGGCCTTATCGCTCACCACTGCCATCCTTGCCTGGTCTCCTTCTGAAGGTCTCACTGGTCCACAGCTCCCAGAAGCTCTCAGGGCTGCAGGATGAAAGATCAGGGTCGGCAAGTTAATAGCTGTTCAAAGTTATTCTCGTTGTTTCCTATAAATAAATCCTCTTTGCCCTCAAAGATCTGGAACTTGTTGTGTGGGGATGGGAGTAGTTCAAAATTGGCTAGCCTGTCAGAAGAGCCTGAAGACGGGTGCTCCGGCAATTCCCCACGTGGACGGGCTGGTTCCAGTCAGCCACCATTTACACGCTCTAACTTAAAAGTTTCCTTATATCACACGTTTTGTGGATTTTTTTGTTCAATTTAAAATTAGTTATTAGTGGGTCACAAGAATAGTGTTGTTGACAATGGGGGAGGGGGAGGATCCAGGAATGTCAAAATGGCTCAGTGAGTAAAAGCACTTGCTGCCAAGCCGGATGACCTGAGTTCAACCCCTGGGACCAAAATGGAGGAGAGAACCCTACAAGTTGATCTTCTCTGACCTTCACACCTATGCTGTAAAAACTATGGACCCACACACATCTCTATGCAGAGAAAAAAATCCCAGCACTCAGGGAGGCAGAGGCAGGCAGATCTCTGTGAGTTCGAGGCCAGCCTGGTCAAAGCGATTCCAGAAATGCTAAGGCTACACAAGAGAAACCCTGTCTAAAAAAAACAAAAATAAAACAAGTAAAACTTAAAAGTGAAGGGTGTGGTGGCTTGTACCTTTGACCCCAGCGATTAGGAGGAAAAACGTAAGTCTCTGAGTCCAAGGCCAGCTTAGTCTACAAAGCAAAGCCAGCCAGGACTGCACAGTGAGACCCTGTCTCTAATGAATTAATGAATTAATCAATCAGTTTCTCACCTTCCTCCAAAATTCACTAGTTTCCACAAGCAACTCATTCAGGAAGTGTGCACTCTTCATTCTCAGCCTCATCCTGCAAGAGCTACTGAGACCCCATCAAACCTAAGCTATTTCTGGGCCATGAACAATGCAGAGGAGCAGAGTTCCTCTACCTTTTTGTGCTTGAAAAAGTCTTATGTGTACCTCAAACTCCACACAACCAAGGATGACCCTAAACTCCTGATAACTCTAACACCCAAGTGCCACCATCACCAGCTATGTGTGTGTGTGTGTGTGTGTGTGTGTGTGTGTGTGCGCGCGCGCGCTGAGACATCTCTCTAAGTCATCCAAACTTCTCCTGGGCTCGGAGTATTCCTGCTCTGCACCACAAGCATTCCACCACCTCCAGCTCAGGTTTATCTTGAAGAAAAGAACATTGTCCTAGGTGGATTAAGATACATACACTTTGGTGGTTTTCTCCTTAATAAATTACCTTTCCTGAAAACCGCCTGCCTCTGCCTCAAGAGCACTGGGATTAAAGGTATGCACCATCACACCCAGCTCATTAAAATAAATAAATAAATATAAATATATATATATATTGTGTGTGTGTGTGTGTTTACGTATATGTATGTGAGTGCGCATGTGCCAGTGGAGGGCTGAGGACAGCTTGTGGAAGTCAGTTCTTTCCTTCCGCCATGTGGGTCCTGGGGCTCAAACTCACTCAGATCTTCAGGCTTGGTAGCAGGGCCCTTTATCACAGAGCCTATCACAGAGCCATCTAGTCCACTCAGCTCATGTCTCCCCTCCCCCTTCCCTGCTTCTGAGACCTCGACTATACAGCCCAGGCTGGGTTCTAACTTCCAGTCCTCCTGCCTCAGTCCCCCCGCTGGGATTACAGGCATGTGCCATCATGTTCAGCCACCACTTTGTTATTTCAATCTTCAGAAAACACTGCACTCACTATTGTCTGTATGGGGGGAAAGCAGTACGCATGCAGCATGGGTGCTGACATCACAGGACAGCTTTGGAGGCGTCACTTCTCTCCTTCCGCTATGGTTTCTGGGGATTAGAACTCAGGTCCTTAGGCTTAGTGGCGGGTACCTTTATCCACTGCCCTATTTTGATGGACTGCAACCTTTTTTTTTTTTCCCCCCTAAAACTGAATGCTGATGACAGACACAAGTTGTGAGAAATGATCGTTTTTCTAGTTCTGATATGGATTTCTTATTTTGGGTGATATGTGTATCAAATACATAAAATGCACAAATGAAATGTTTTTTGACAGTGAATGTGTGCAATCCACGGCAAAGCTCTGCTGCTTCAGAATGGCTGTTCTAACTATGTAGAAGTTGACTGACACATGTAAACTTTGGGTATAGTTAATTTTAGCGTGTGGCGTTTTATGTCCAAGTTTATTTTTTTTCAGACAGGGCTCTCTGTCTCTGCTTAGCCCTGGCTGTCTGGGAACTTGTTACCTAGACCAGGCTGGCCTCCCACTCACAGAGATCTGCCTGCCTCTGCCTCCACAGTGCTGGGATCAAAGGTGCATGCCACCACACCTGGCTGTTTTTGTTGTCATAATGAAGTTAATTAAATTGAAAACAAAAGAAAAAACATAGAAGCCATCTCAAAATTAAAGGTTAAAAAAAAAAAGGTAGGGGAGGTGCCTGTGTGTTTAGCTTAGTGGGATGCTAGCCTGGCATAGCCAGGATCCCTTGTCAAATCCCCAATATGGCCAACAAAGGACCACAAACCTACAATTCAGAAATACAGCACCAATGCCTGCTCCAACCTGTGTAGACTCTGAAAACATTATCTTAAGGACAGAGGACAGAGCCAAAAAGGTCTGCATGCCATTGGATTCCATTCATGTGAAGCGAACAGAACAGGAAAATCTGCAGAGCCGGGTGGGCTGGTGCCCACAGGTAGCCCCCGCACTGGGGAGATGGAGCCAGGAAGATCAGTGGTTAAGGTCATCCTTGGCTACACAGAGAGTTCTGGGGCAACCTGGGACACACAGGAAGATCCTATCTAAAGAAAGTTCAAGTCTGCAGAAACAGGAGGATTGCTGGGACTCACAGCCAGACCAGCCAAAGGACCACAAGCTCCAAGTTTAATGCCAGAACTTGTCTTCACACAAATGAAAAGAGAAAGAAAGAATAAGTAATATTCTCCTTTGGCCCTGAAGAAAGTGCATCCATACGCACACCTGTACACAGACACACACACACTCATACGCTCATGCGTACACATACACACAAATGCAGAGAGAGAAAGAAGCAAAAATAAGTGCTTCCATCTGGATGGTGAGTCGATGGCCACTTTCTATAATGGCGTAACATGAGTCATTGGCAGCACGGGGATGCTAGCTTGGGTCGGGCTCTGCTCTGCCATTTACTTACTCAAGTGCGACCTGGAGGAAGCGATCTGGCCCCTCATCTACAAACTAGAGTAGAACCCCTATGTCAGGGAGGTAAATAAAACAACCCGGGTGCTGAAGCCCCGGAAACCAGCAAAAAGTGAAATGAAGCCAGGAGATGGCCGCCAAGAGCTAGTGCTGCAGAAAACCTGACAGCCTGAGCTGAGCCCCAGAAGCCATGGAAAGACGGAAGGAGAGAATCCGACGCACAAGGCCGTCCTCTACCCTCCCCACAGGGGCCATGGCAAACGCACCCCCCATCCCCACACGTACAGTCAGAATAAATACAATTTTAGAGGTGACAAGATGGTTTACTGGGTGAAGGCACCTGCCACCAAGGCTGAAGAGCCCGGGACCCACATGACAGAGAAGGAAGCTCTCTGACGTCACCAGCTGTCTTCTGACGTCCACATGGGTGCCAAGACACGCAAATATGTGTGCGCACGCAAATCAAGAAAAGTAATCAAGTAGAATTTTAAGTAGACTACAGGATGGATGGGCTGATGGGCGGGCAGACAGAATGAGGGATGAAGCGAGTCTAAACTCAGAATCCAGAGCAAATTCTACCCACACCTAAAGATGAGAAGTACCCTTCCCTTCCGAAGAGTGACTTCACGCCCCAGGCACAGCAAGCAGCTGAGGTCACACTGCTGTCTATTCTGCTTGGCCCTTTGAGCTCTGTGCTCATGGGCTGAGCCCCTGTGCCCATCTCTGAAGAATAATGGGGGTAGGTCAGCATCCCCACTGTTTTTGTTTTGGCTTTAGAGACAGGGTTTCTCTGTGTGGCCCTCGCTGTCCTGGAACTCACTTTGGTGGCCAGGCTGGAGTATCCCTGATTTTATGAGCTCCCCTTCAGCAGAAGAAGGCTGAGCACACAGCAAGGAGAAGGACCCGGGGAGCGAGCCCAGGGCCAGCAGAAGCATGTGGGCTCCCGGGCAGATAAGAGGAAGGTCAGCTCCACTGTGCCCTGATATGCAGCTGCCACTGCTGAGACTGGCTGAAGAGCCCCAGAAACGCCTTCAGCAACACATTCTTCCCCGCCCCGCCCCCAGCCCGGAGAGAGAGTTTCATTGAGCCCAGGTTGGTGGAGATCTGAATTATGTAGGGTGACCCGGAACTTCCGATCCTGGCTCCTCTCCCACCCCCACGCTCCCGGCACCCATACACCTTAAAGAGTTGCCCTGAGTCAGCTTCCATGTTGCTCCAGCTCCAGCCTCCATCCTAAACTCCCAACCTCCATCCCCAGCAGGATCTATGTATCCTAGATACTCTGGGGCTAGATACTCTGGGGCCACTACCCCAGAGTATCTCTCTGGCTTCGTGCACCCATTAACTTGGATCTGCTGAGTGACCCCCAAGCTCTAAGTGTCCACGTCGTTCCTTCTCAACTCCTCCTGTCCCAGTCTCGACAACCATCTGCAAGCAAGTCCTGCCTCCACCGCTTCTGGAATCTGGTCCTTCCACTTGCGGCTGGGGCGCTCCTAGCCAACACTTGGACTGGCGCAGTGGCCGCCCTGTCTCCATCTCTAACCTGTGTGTCCCACGGCTCCCGGAGCGGTCTTTCAAAGCCTTCAGGAATGCACGTGCATTCTTCCGTTCTTAAAAACCTCAAAACCCTTACCACCACAGGATTAAGTCCAGACCTCCCAACGTTTCAGAACCACGGAGCTCTAGCTTGAAACATGGCAAGGAGGCCATTAGACCAAAAAAAAAAAAAAGAAAGAAAAGAAAAGAAAAGTGGAGGTGGGGGGGAGGCAAAGGCCGCTTTGGTGCAGTGATCTGACC